CACAGCAGGGAATATTGCCGCATTGAAGGCTTAAGTAGCAAAACAACTTGAACGGCTGCATGTGAAGGTTATTAATGACGGCTGTCACTAATGTTTGTTGTTTTTGCCAATGGCACGTCTCTGAGGCCATTATTGTTGCTGGTGTGAAATGAAATCTGCTGTATTTCATCATGCGTACAGCATGAGTTTTCAGAAACAGAGCTCGGAGCTTTCCAAATGAGTCTGCTGCCCTCCGGAGAGTCTGTGTAAATGTTGCCATTACATACAAATCAAAAAATTAATAACAAGGTCCTTTAAAGAAAAGGCCACACTTTGAAAATATGCCAAATAGCTGAGATTTTTAAATGAGGGAATTGAGTTTCCCGACAGCCCATCATCACAATGTCATAGGAACAATCGCGTGATTCTTTCTGCATCACTTGCAATGGAAACTCAAATTGCACCTGTGTGAAATGAAAGGAAATTGGAAGTCATTTGCCATAAATCATCATTATTTTGAGAAGCCGCTATTGATGCGGGGAGCGGTGACTGGTGAATGCAGGTGATGCAGCCGCTCTGATTACGGACCATCATCCCCTGCAGGATTATGCTAATCAGGTGAATTGTGATACTCTCTAGCTTGATGATCTCAGTTTGCCTGGCTGTGCCGCTCTGAAACAGAACCAAATGCTGTCTATAGATGTCGGAAATGCTTTAAGTTGTCATTTGCTTGCGAGAGCTGAATACCATTGGTGTCTTTGCTCATTTTCATTTTTTTTCTTGCGCTATGCTTCTTTTCATGCTGCGGAGTGTAGGTGTTTCTGTGATATTTTGTGCATATGCAGGTGTACACAGGAAGAAAATGTTACTTGAGAGAAATGCAGTAGAGACGTATGGAAGTGCACAAGTGTAACTGTATAGATTTTAACATTGCTTCAAAATAATACCTACAGTAATACAGTAGCAAACATATTTTGTGTGCATATCTGTTACAAATAACTTCTGGGCTGGTATTATTAATAAACTATTTGTTGAAAAATCTTTGCCTAACAGTGGCTGTCATGATCTATGCAGCTTTAATTTAATCAAGATTATTTCAAGTTCATTTTGTTTGGACATGGCCAAAATGTATGTAGGATTAAGTAATTTTATGATGTTTTTCCATCACTTTAATCCATTCAGGTAATTTTATGGACCAATTTTTACTATTTATTATTTTACTATTTACTATTACACTATTTATTTGTACTGTTATTTTATTTTATATTTACGTTTTTTTTATTTTAGTTAAAAAAACATTTTGTTTTTAATTTTTTTGTATATTTATTTTATATTTAATTTTATATTTTTATTTATTTGATTTAATATTTTAGTTTATTTCTTTTTATTGCTTTTTTGTAATTTCCAAATATATTTCACAGAGTTGTCTATAAGCCACTCTTGCTGTGTGCTTAGGGTCATTGTCCTGTTGGAAGGTGAATCTTCTGCCCAGTCTGAGGTTCTGAATGCTCTGGACTGGGCTATCTCTATATTTTGCTGCAGTGAGCTTTTCTTCTACTCTTGACGAGTCCCTCAGTCCCTGCTGCTGAAAAACAGCCCCACAGCATGAGGCTGCTACCAGCACACTTTATTTTTGGGATGCTACTCTGCAGGTGATGAGCAGAGCTGGTTTCCTTCAAACATGATGCTGG